CTCGGCGAATTAATATTATTATAAATAGCCTATATTTTATACTTTATAGAAATAATACAAAAAAAAACAAATCCTTTATGCTAGTTGTACATAATTACTTCATACCTAGTTCGTTTTAAATGCAGCCACGCAAGTTTATAAGTATCACTATTGCAATATGAATATGTTTTGTGTAAGTTTTGAGTTTGTTTATGTATTGTGTAGTGGTACAAAAATAAACCACCGAGCAGTAAAGTATTTATTTTATCGTGGATCGACGACGATTGAAAGAATATTGTCATATCTGTCCTATCTTATCCTATCCTAATATTTTTCCGTAGTACTATTGAACTAAAAATAACTTATCGATTTGTACACTTAATCGGAATTTATTCCATGTCTCATGGGTACATAATTATATTACATTGAATTCTGAGAGGTGCTTATGATAAATACTTTTTATTTTTTTTTATGGGAGGGGGGGTATAGCCGTATAGGTAAAATGTTAAAATATTTTATCCCCCCCCCGATAAACATTGCCAGATTACGCCACTGGTTGTACCGAACCTAATGGCTTGATTATTTTCCAACACAAGTTATCGAAAGCTAAAGTGAGCTTTTTAAAGATGGAAGTTAAAAAAAAATTTTTGTTAATTAGTATTTTGTATTGTGCAGACTTGTAAACGTGTTACAAATCTATCGTGTGGGTACATACACGGCACTCGTGTTCATAACCACCACTCAGTATCGAGCTCACAGGGTGATTAAGGTGTCATACCCCTCCCCCCTTTGACTTCTATTTGTCATATAGGTATATAAAATATATTGCAAAGCGACAAAGCAATTAAGGTMTTTATTTAACTCTGTATAAACTTAGTCTGAGTATGGTAAACATTTCATATCCTCCATTTTCAAAAAAGCTGAGAAGGMCAATGCCCCCATTACTGCTATACCTCTACTGYAAAGTCGTCGTCGACACAGTTTCATTTTATTTTTATAGCTGACGACTCGTTCGCTCATAGTWATTGTTTCGTCGTCAACAGTAACACTACGACATTGGAGTTGGCTGCATTGCTTTTGATCTCCACACGACTTTTACGAAATTGCACGAGTGTAGGCACTTCTTAGATATTAAAAATTATAAGTGAGGAAATTGTATAATGGTATTGCTTGAATTTAGTCAATATTGATTTTATAATTTATTTTCTTAATATTTTTGTGAGAAATTGTCTACCTGCTTCTACCTAGTTGTAACTTATTACTTATTAGGTACCTATATAAGTATTTGTGATTGTTCTGTTTATTTTTAAAATTAGTTTTTGGTTAAACTAATTTAAAATGGTCAATAAAGTGAACTATCTAGCTATGTTGCAAATGAAATATTATTAGTTTCAAGTTGGTATGCTAAAGCAGTACGCGTGTCTGAAATTCTAATAATGCAGTCTGCATGCAAGATTTAAAATTTTCAGTAAAAAAGTCAGTGAAACAATACTATACTATATTATTAATAGTTAATTTAATATATATTTAAAAAAAAAATTGGATGGTAATTTTATAAATTTTATATTTGTACATAAATTTTGTTCCTTATATTTTATACCTAATGGTAACTGATAGTAACGAATAAATTAAAAATACATCTTTGTTAAGTTTTTACTGATTTTATATACAGGGACATCCGGCAGTTCCGAAGAATTCAGGAGGCGCAACTGGTGTGCGCGCTGAGCATAAATTAATTTTTTTACGAATAATCGTCCTATAGATATGTACACAGGTTTAAGCCTTTTAGACATTCGAGTGMTTGTAAGTRCTATACCTATACTTTGCAAACAGAGAGCTCGGKACGAATGATAAATCAATGACGTTCTCTATATAAGCAAATATTGGTGTCTGAACACTGAGCGCCAAGAAGTTCAGGAAGCCACCACAGTCAGCCACTTGTAGTAGGTACGATTGTTGTCTTTCTAGATAATTTGTAAATACTTAACTAGTTACCAGCCCCAGATGGACAAAATATCGGACCATCGAGTTTTAGTTTATTAACTAAAAATTAACCGTCACTAAAAGGCCCATTTTCAAATAAACATTTCTAAATTGACCTAGATTTTAGGCAGCACGCCAAGGTAATTAAATCTAATTAAATTTGTGTTTTAAAATAATTTCCCAAACACTTACGATCGGCCTTCTTTTTAGAGCGGTTCTCATCATAAATTTGCTCGGTAGCTCGCCGCTTCAATTCGGGCCCGTCAGTTATTTTTATCAGGTGCAGGTGTAAGGGGGTAACTGTTTTTCCAGAAATAWTAACAATCGAAGGTGATGGGTCCACCGTGGTCGTGAGACTGAGATGGTAAACTAATATTGATAATAAAAATGAATTACATTAATTGTCGTATCACCATAAAGAATGGCATGTGATTAGATCTATACGACGCCTTATTAAATTATTACTATTGTACACACTCTGAGGTTTAAGCTGATGAAGTGATGACTGTCTTTAAAATAAATTTGATTAGCGCGCTGTGACTAAAGTTTGTTGAAGTACGCTCTTGTTGGTTTTAAGTTCGTTCCTTCTGAATCAAAAAACTCATGATTCCATATACCTACCGTCGGTTTAAAGAAACTCATTAACTATAAGTGCGTAACTCCTAGAACTGTTCCTATTTTAAAAGGCAAAAAAGAAAAACGACTGAAATCAAACTCAATTATAGTCTTTGGTCGATAACACTCTCGTTGGTACAAAACAAACATAAAATATTTCGCCCAGTTTGTGTTTGTTTACTTCGATCGTCGCTTATTCTGGTACAATCTTTATCGTATTTACACTCTTGCTGAAGTTTACGACAGACGACAATCTCTGTATATGCTACGTGTTATATATAGTAAAATTTTGATTGTCACCTCATAACATATTGCTTCACTGGCCTGACCTATTTTAATTATTAAATTGATTATGATCAAAGAAAATTGTTGATCTTCACAAATTTTTTTTGGCATGTTTTACATGCCACAGTATGGAGGTTTGAAGAGATTAATATTTCGATTACGGCCCGGTCAGAGTGTTGAGTTGTTGAGTAGGTAGGTTTTTATCTAGATGGCTTTTAATAATTTAGAGTTTAGATCTAAATTGCCGGAACAATTCATTTTTAATATATAAAAATACGATATGGTTTAATCAATTTATATATTTAACTAGCAAAAAAAAAAAAAAATGTACAAAACCATAATAATGCACATAAAGCCATATTACAACTGGTATATTTTATTTATTATAATAATACTTATTTGATAATATTATTGTATGAATATATTATTATACATTAGTGACTAGAAATTGAATTAAACAATATTATTATTTATTATACCTGTTTATGTGTAAGTAATATGTTTATTATTTACGCATCAATATGTATATAAATGATCAATTATTGTTTGAAGTACAATTTTATATATTGCAAAATACGAGTATAGCAAGTATAACAAAAAGCTTACATATTTATACAACATTTTTCTAACTCTTGCATATGCTATAATTATTAACCATACGCCGACAATGTGTCTGAACTACTTTCTATACAATACTTGCATATACTTTAAATGTTCGAAATTCGCTAAAAGATTCCGGAAAATGCATAGGTGCGCAGTTATACAGCTATATGTAATTACAAAAAAGACAATAATATTATACATTAACAATTTGAGTTCAAATTAACATTATGAGAATAATATATACACTAAATTTAAAATCCTTACTGCGGACAATTATTTAAAATTAAGTAATAATTATAATGTTAAATTAACATGTTATGTAAATTATTAAATTTAACGAGTATTCAATTTACATAAATAATTAATAATTTTACAAATCTAATTTAAACATAAATAAATAATTTATAAGGATATACAGCGCCATTGTATCATAAAATAAGTAAATTCCCAGGTGAGATGTGTATAATATGTTTATATAGCTTATATCAATTACACTAACAGTATAATACAAAGCATAAAGGTCTGTGACTTTTTGTAAAATTTTCAAGAACAGAAAATTTATAAGTAAAAAAGCTCAGCAATCATAATACGWAATCAATACCTATTTATTAGTTACAAATACTTTTTAGTATTATACTATCCTAACGTATATGTAATAAAATTTAATTTTTAAATTTATATAATACGAACATTTTTTGTTCAAATATTTTATTTATTTAAGTAGGTTCCTACAATATTATATATTGTATCATATGTGTAATATATATAACCTATGTTACGTTAGATTTTTATAACACATATTATTATAAATTTAAAAAGCATATATTATAGGTAACAAATTATGATATTTAGAGCCGTTAAGGTGTTCAATATTGTTAATAACAAAAAAATATTTACTGATTATCATTATTGGTTTAAAGGAACGCTTTTCAAAATATCAAAACACATCTTAAAAATATATATGCATCGCTCTGAGTTAACAAAAAAAAAAAACTAGCTCCTCAAGAGATGTATAAAAAAGACAAACAATCATTTATTCAGTCGATAGAATTTACTCAAGCAACTTCCAAGTCCGAAGAATCGGGATCTTCTTCGAGTTCTTCTTCGTCCACGTGCAGATGAACTAACCGCATTGGATCTCCCCCCCTAGCCGCGGCTGCCGCCACTGCAGCTGCTAGCCCATTAGAAACCCCAGGTTGTTCCACTAGATGATGTTGCATTTTCCTCAGTCTATCTTGTTCTTCACGTCTTTGCTTTCTCCACTTTGCCCGACGATTTTTAAACCATACCTGAGGAATACAAGACACAACAAATTCATATTAATACAATGTAACAAGGACTTAATAGTGATGTGAACAAATTCTAAAATATCACACCATGCATTAACACGGGATATTATTAATAAAATCACTTTGAGTAATTTCCAAAATTTAAAATATTTAATTTTATTTATTTATAAAACAATATTCCCAATACTTAGGAATTTGTATAGCTTTAATTAATTCACAAAATTTAAATTTAAATGTTTGAAATTTTAAAATATAATTTATTCAGTCGTTAAAATTTATTAAATATTATATAATGTATGTAGTTCATAAAATGTACTAATAGTTTTATATAAATACCTAAAACATGTTTTAAACTTTCATAATATATAATACACATCTTAAGTTTAAGGATATTTTTTATTTTATTATGCATTTTATGTGGAATATAAATATAATTACTAAATAAGTTTATGTTTATGAATGGAACAATAATTGAATGTTTGCCATAAAGAAATGCAGAAATACGATATAAAAAAAGGCTTCGTAATTGAATTAAAATGTTATATTTCTATTAGGTACATAAAAATGTTTTTATACGTTTTTTGCTAAAATTACAATAATAAATAATACTTTTTAAAAAACTGTGATTTAAACAAAAAATAGCATCCCGTTATACACAGGTACGCTAAAAGAAGACAATTTTAAGACAAAGAAACGTAATATACATGTATATAAAAATTAACCTCATATATTTAAAGGTAACAAATTAGGTTGTTGTTTTTTATTTTGAAACTATTTATGTAATTGATCAATAAAATAAGAATAAATAAATGTTGATGTTTACAAACGTAGAAAAATATATTTTAATAATCTCAAAAATACGCTTTTATGTGTCCATCTCTATGTTATGTAACTATATTTTTTTTTTTTTTTCAAAGGGAATGAGGGGTATTTTTTTATTGAATTTTGCTTTTATTTCATATTTTTATAAAATATTCTTTCACTGATTCAAAGAACTCTGATTATTACCATTGAAAAAATGCCACCACCTCCCTTATTGTCGCATGCACGATAAAAATGTCAAAATACGCTACACGTAGCAACATATAGCTAAATGATAATAAATTGTAATATTATCATATATCGCGGAACATCAGTCAAAGTCGGCCTTTGTGTCAATTATTTCGGTTTCATAAACACACCAACGTGTTCACGGATCAGTTGAATTTTCTAGTGTGACACAGGTAGATGGGCTATATATAATGTATAATGGGGTGCGAATGTGCTATTTTGTTCGATGGTGTGAGGTATGACAAATTTAATACAGACATGATATTTAGTGTTTATATTCATAATATTATATTGTTTAGAATTTGTGAACTGGAAAATATTAATTAACCCATCGAAAAGCGTAAGTGTATTATTCAGTCTWCGCCGTACTCTTACTCTACCRCCGCTAACTTTTAACAACGAACAAATCGCATGGAAGCCGTCCGTCAAGTACCTTGGAGTAACGTTGGACAAATGACTAACCTGGTGGCCACACCTCTCATCTAAACTCCAACAAGCCTATCAACGTCTAGGGATGCTCTTCCCTATTCTAAACAGGAAGTCTTCACTACAAAAAAAACTTTCCCTACTTATATATAAGCAAGTACTACGTCCATTAATCACATACGCTTGCCCTATCTGGGGGAATTGTGCACAAACTCATCTAAAAAAACTGCAAATATTTCAAAACAAAGTTTTAA